CACACACACACACACACACACACACACACACACACACACTGTGGTCACACCCAGGACCCTGTGCATGCTAGGGTCCTGCCCATAGTTGTTACAGAGAAAAGCATGACAATTTATAGATACGCTGGAAACTTGGAATGAGAATTAAGTTGGATTGAGCAGCATTAATCATTTAAGTAATTATAATTTCATGTTCATTGTGATTATACCCTGTATATCGTTTCTTATTCTGTACTTTTGAAAATAATCTTCTTTCAGAATGGGTTCCACCTCAACCAGAGTATTTCTATCAGCCTACAGGAGACGAAAAGTTACCAGAGATTGTGGGAGAAGAGCAAGGCACAGTTGTTTACCAGTTAGATTCAGGTATTGTCATTGCACTGAACAGTGAATGATTAACTATGGTAAAGTTACAATACACTTAGTATGTATAATAAAAGTGATTTTAATTTCTAAAAATGTATTTCTGTGTCTGTGTGTTTATGGGCACACGTGTCGTGATGCAAGTTTGGAGGTCGAAGACCAGCTTAAGTCAGTTCTCTCGCACCTTTATTTGGTTTCAAGGAGAGAACTCGAGTCATCTGGCTAATGCAGCAAGCCCCTACCCACTGAGCCGTATTGCCAGCCCTAAATCAGTTCTTTTTGTGTAAATAAGGGGGGCATGATACATGGGAAAAGGCACACCACAACACCCACAGGTAGAGGTCAGAGGACAAGTTCTGAAGGTCCCTTCTGACCTTCTATCTTGTGGAACCCAGGGTTTGAGCTCAGGCTGTCAGGGTTGATAGCAAGTTCCTTTACTTTTCAAATCATCCCACTGGCCCTAATCATGATTTTAAAAATTGTCACCCTTAATGATAAATATCTATCTTGGCCTGTGTGGAAACCTGGACAATTATGACTGATCAGCTGTACATTTTCAATAGTTTGCTTATTTATTTTATTATTTATTTGTTTGTTTGTTTGTTTTCCAGACAGGGTTTCTCTGTATAGCCCTTACTATCCGGGAACTCCCTCTGTAGATCAGGCTGGCCTTGAACTCACAGAAACATGTGCCTGCTTCTGCCTCCCCCTTGGGTGCTGGGATTAAAGGCGTGTGCCACCACCACCCAGCCAATAGTTCATGTTTAATTGCCTTTAAATATTACTTTATGTGTATTTTTTTTTCCTCTGCATACACGTCTGTGCACCACATGTGTGCAGTGACCGTGAAGGTCACAAGAGGGCGCATCAAATCTACTAAAACTGGAGTTACAGGTAATTGTGAGATACCCGGTAGGTGCTGGAAATTGAACCTAAATCCTCTGGACGAGCAGCCAGCGCTCTTAACTGCTGAGCCACTCTTTCCAGCTCTTCAATAATTCTTGTTTATTTTTAAAATTTTCGGGGTTTGTTTGTTTGTGTTTTTGAGATAGGTAGAACTCTGTGAGTTCAAAGCCAGCCTGGTTTACATAGAGAATTCCAGGCCAGCCAGAGCTACATACATACATACATACATACATGCATACATACGTATATATGATTATATGATTGAATAAGTATATATATCCTGAGGGCAGAGAGATAGCTCAGCAGTAAGAGCACTTGTTACTCTTCCTCCAGAGGACCTGAGTGCAGTTGCCATCATCCACAGTGGGTGACTCCCAGCCTCCTGTAACTCCAGCTCCAGGGAATCCATCGCCCCCTTCTGGTCTCCATGGGTACTTGCACATATGTGACATGCACATAAACGTGAATAAAAAATAAGTTAAAAAAAAGTCAGATTACTCCAAACACTGTTGTTTGGCTAATGCTCCAGGATCAACATATTTTATAGCAGTATCTTAGCAGCTGGTGAGTGTTAACATTTGAAATATATAATGAACATTATAATATTAAATATAAATATAATAAAAGTGTAGTAAAAATTGCTTACCATTGTGATCTTCATAAGGATTTTATGAGGTATCTTATGAATATTTAAAAAATTACTTAAATTACAAAGTCATTGACAAATAAATGAGAAAATAAATTTTCACCAACTTAACAAAAATATCAAAGAGAGATGATAAAGTTGGTTCTTCGGGACACGATACTAACAATGCTATGTGACAAACCTTTGAAACTCTGAGTTTCAACAGTAACTGCAAAACTTGAGGCTGCTGGGCTGGGAATAGAGCTCAGATGGAAAGTGCTTGCTCAGCAGTCCCCAAACCCTAGGCTCCATCGCAGCAGCAGCAGAGCAGACAACACCCAGGGGATGGAAGCAGGGGCATCAGACGCTCAAGCATATCTTCTGCTGTGTGGAGGTTCAAGTCATCCTGAATGCATGAGACCCTGGCTCAAAAAACAGCAAAAGAAAATCGAGAGGTCAGGCCTGGTGTGGCGCACGCCTTTAATGCCAACAGGGATAGAGCAGGCTTGATCTCTGTCAGTTGTGGTCAGCCTGGTCGATGAAGCAACTTCCAGGCCAGCCAGAGCTTCACAGAGAGACTCTGCCTCAAAAGAATTAAAAAAAAAAAAAAAAAAGATGATGTAATACTCTCACTTAATTTGATGATGTAATACTTCACTGAATTTGTCTGAAAAGCCATGAAAATTTTCTCTAACAATTTGTTATTATTCCAAGAATTAGGAAGAATGATTATAAATAACCTAATTTTTAAAAATTACATTTATTTATTTGGGGGAGGGCACATGTACCATAGGGCATGTTTAGAGATTAGAGAACAATTTGTAAGAGTTGGTCCTCTGCTTTCACTATGGAGTCCTTGGGATCAAACTCAAAGAGTCATCAGGCTTGGTAGCAAGCATCTCTTTCCACAGAACCATCTTGATGTCCTACCTACATTTTCTGAAGTCTCACTTCTTGCTATAGCTTTGTTTTATGCTTTAAAAAAGTTAATGGATAGTGTTCAAGCGTCCTTTTTTTTAAAGAGATTTTTAGTTTTAATTATGTCTATCTGTGTGTAAGTATGTGTCTCTGTGTATTCGAGTGGCTTGTTCTCAGAGACCAGAAGAGGTTGCTGGATCTGCTGGCGTTGCAGGAGGTTAGGTGTTCCTAATGTGGGCACTGGGAGCCAAATCCCATCTTCTGGACCAGGGCAGCCCCATAGCTTTGTCTGAGGATAAAATGCTCACTATACTTTTTGTGTGTGTGTTTTTGTTTTTCAAGGCAGGATTTTTCTGTGGCTTTGGAGGCTGTCCTGGAACTAGCGCTTGTAGACCAAGTTGGTCTCCAACTCACAGAGATCCGCCTGCCTCTGCTTCCCGAGTGCTGGGACTAAAGGTGTGCGCCACCACCTCCCGTCGCTGCCTATACTTTTATTTTTCACTAATTACTGACATTTTGATTCTCCTCTAGGCAAACTCACCCATGCCAATTCTTTTCAAACTTCTACTTCATTTTATTCTGGAAGAATATGCCAAAACATTGTGTGTGATATACCTTATTTTCCGTTTTTTTTTTTTTTTTTTTTTAATTTATAGGTTCTGCTTAAATGCTTTGTAGAATAAGATTGCAGATGTTTTCAGATCCTCTTCTAGAGAATGGCCAGCACACCACTGTTTCTGATTCCATTCCATGTCAAACATTTAGAATGTCAGGGTTGGTGGTTTTGACATTTGGATATAGTTTTGCTGTATGGCCTGGCAGCCCTCCTAGCCTCCTCCAGAGTTCCAGGGAGCTAGGCTAGGATAGCAGTTTCTATAAACATCCTTTAAAGTCAGGATTTAGATGGAAACAACAAGTATGTGCAATGCCTAGGAAAAGCCTGAGGGAAAAGGATGTACTCTAAATCATCTAAAAGACTTCAGAGTGTTAGGGTGGTGGTGGCACATGCCTTTAACCCCAACATTCAGGAGGCAGAGGCGGGTGAATCTCTGTGAGTTTGAGACTAGCCTGGTCAACAAAGCAAGTTCTAGGACAGCTAGGGGCTGTTGCACAGAGAAACCCTGTCTCAAAATCAATCAAACAAACAAAAAAACAAAACAAAAAAAACCCAACCAAACAAGAAGAAAATTAAAACAACAAACAAATAAATAAAAACTTCAGAGTGATGCACTGTTGAAAATTATGGGCCTCTGCTAGAGATGTAGTTTGATTGATAGAACACTGGCCTGGCAGGGTAAGGCCCTGTATTCAACCACCTCTACTGTATGTTAAAAACATCTAATGTCAGCCAGGAAGTGGTGGCATACTCCTTTAACCCCAGCACTTGGGAGACAGAGGCAGGTGGATCTCTGTGAGTTTGAGACCAGTCTGGTCTACAACAGCTAGTTCCAGGACAGCCCCCAAAGCCACAGGGTAATCCTGTCTCCAAAAACAAAAACATCTAACATTAATAAAATTAAAGGTCCCAGTAAGGACAGTAAGTGATCCATTGACTATTTATAGGGTTGGTAGGACTCCTTGAAGATTTGCTGAGTGAATGAATTCTGAGTGACGTGGCCTAATCGTATCTTTCTCCTCTGCAGTTCCCACAGAAGGTGCCTATTTCACCAGTTCCAGAATAGGAGGAAAACGAGGAATTATCAAGGAACTCGCTGTTACATTGCAAGGGCCAGAAGATAATACTCTATTGTTTGAATCGAGGTTTGAGAGTGGGAATCTGCAGAAAGCTGTCAGAGTGTGAGTAACAAGGTGTTTGTCAGAGTTGCTGACTAGATTGGCTGAGAGTCGTCTTTAGGAAGGATTTCAGGCATCCAGGATGCTTTCAAAGAGAGGTGGTAGAAAACATATTAAGGGGACGAAAAAGAATGTAATAATTATGACTAATTTTCCCCCAGAATAAAACACTAAATTACTCTGCTTACAAAAGAAAAGAAAAAAAAGAGCTCACTCAAAGTTGTATCAGTGGACCAGCAAGATGACTCTGGGTAAAGTCACTTGCCTCTCAAGCCAGACAACCTGGGTTCAATCCTAATGAGTTCCAGGGCTATAGAGAGAGACCCTGTCCCAAAACAAACAAAAACCAACTGAACCCAGGAATTGGAGTGATGGCTCAGCAGTTATGAGCACCCGTTGCCCTTGCAGAAAACCTGGGCTCAGTTCCCAGCACCCATATGATGGTTCACAAACATCCACAGCTCCAGTTCCAGGGGATCTGACCCCTCTCTTCCTACCTTCACAGCTACCAGCTATGCATGTGGAATATACAGATACATTCAGGCAAAACTTCATATAAATAAAGCTAAAGAAAGTTTTAAATTGAACCCAGTGCCTAACACATACTAAGCACATGACCTACCACTGTGCCATACCCCTGACAGCTTCTTATTTTTTTCTTTCTTTTTTCCCCCCAAGACAGCGTTTCTCTGTGTAGCCCTGGCTATCGTGGAACTCACTCTATAGACAAGCTGGCCTCAAGTGTTGGGACTAAAGGCATAGTCCACCACCGGTGGCCCAGCTACTTATTTCAATATGCATTTTCTTAGTTATGTGAATGGGTAGATATCTTTTTTTTTTCTTGCCATGTACATTTCCTTTCATGAATTTACTTTCCATCTCTATTTCTTTGATTTTGGGGACAGGATTTGCTATAGCTCTGAGATTGGTCTTAACTGTACAGTCCTTCTGCTTCAGGCTCCAAATGCTAGGATTATAGGGGTGCATGACTGTGCCTAGTCTCTCTCTCTTTTTTTAAGATTTTATTTATTTATTTATTTATTATGTATATAACATTCTGCTTCCATGTATATCTGCACACCAGAAGAGGGCACCAGATCTCATAAGGGGTGGTTGTGAGCCACCATGTGGTTGCTTGAACTCAGGACCTCTGGAAGAACAGCCAGTGCTCTTAACCTCTGAGCCATCTCTCCAGCCCCTAGTCTCTTCTTTTTTTAAAAAACATCTCTCTTTTGGAGAGGAGAATGCACACGTGGTACACTGCACAAGCATGTGTGTGTGCATAAGTATCTGTGTAGGTCAGAGGACAGTTTGCAGGATTCGGTTTTCTCCTCCCATGTGAGTTCTGGGTCTCTCTCCATATGAGCTCTGGGGATTGAACTCAGGTCGTGATGCCAGCCCCAATATCTTGCTCCCTTTAAGCAAAGTGAGTATATTCCAGAGATGTCTTCTCATCTTCAAAGAATGGATGACCAGAAAAAAAAATAATACTGAGGTTTAGTAGTTTTCACAAATGTGATTTCATCTGTAAAATGGAGAGCTAGCAAGCAGTCAAGAGATGGCACTGTTGAATGTGTTCGAGGGAAACATACAGCAGGGATTAGAAACTGCTAGTAGATCTTCCAGAAAGCTACCGAGAAGGTAACAGAATCTCCAAACATCCATGCAACAGTCAATTTGGTTTTTTGTTTGTTTGTTTGTTTGTTTGTTTCGATTTTTGAAACAAGGTTTCCGTAATTTCAAAAAGCCTAGATAACTCAGGCTAACCTCAAATTTGCTGTATAGTCCAGGCTGGCTTAAAAATTTTTATCCTCCTGCCTCTGCCTCCCAAGTGCTTGGGTTGTAGGTGTGTAGCACCACACCCAGCTCATAGTGAGAATGGAGACTCTGCCTTCTCAATCAATCCGAAAGTTTCCCTTCACAAGGTTCACCGTTTATTATGCGCCTTGGAGAAGTGGCTAAACTAAAAGAGAAGCATTTGCTATGGGGGCAGTTGTGATCCATCCATCTTTCCAAGACTGACCCAGTACTTTCCAGACTTGTTCTGAGGGCGAGGAGATGAGGTTGAAGAAGTGTTCTTTTTTTTTCTTTGCTTTTCATTACAGAGGCATCTATGAGTATGAACTTACCTTGCGAACTGATCTCTACACAGACAAACACACCCAGTGGTTTTACTTTAGGGTTCAGAATACCAGAAAAGAAGTCACCTACCGCTTCACCATTGTCAACTTGCTGAAGCCCAAGAGCCTTTATGCAGTAGGGATGAAACCTCTTATGTACTCTGAGCTGGATGCCACCACCTACAACATTGGCTGGAGGAGAGCAGGACATGAAATCAAGTACTATAAGAATAACATGGAAGAGGGGCAGCAGTCCTTATACTGTCTCACCTGGACCCTTCAGTTCCCTCATGACCAGGATACTTGCTTCTTCGCACATTTTTACCCATACACTTACACTGACTTGCAATGCTATCTCTTGTCAATTGCAAACAACCCCATCCAGTCTCAGTTCTGCAAGCTCCGAGCTTTATGCAGGAGCCTAGCAGGGAATACTGTCTACTTGCTTACCATCACCAATCCATCCAGGACCCCTCAAGAGGCAGCTGCAAAGAAAGCGGTGGTGCTGAGTGCCAGAGTCCACCCTGGAGAAAGTAATGGCTCCTGGATCATGAGAGGCTTTTTGGACTTCATCCTTAGCAACTCCCCAGATGCCCAGCTCCTCAGGGATATCTTTGTCTTCAAGGTGATTCCCATGTTAAATCCAGATGGCGTGATTGTGGGGAATTACCGGTGTTCGTTGGCTGGAAGGGACTTGAACAGGCATTATAAAACCGTTCTTAAGGATTCTTTCCCTTGCATTTGGTACACCAAGAATATGATCAAAAGGTGAGAGCTCTTTGTTGATAATTTTGTGAATGCTATGGCCTTCCCTGCCAGATACTCTCTATAACGAGGACGGTCTTGTCTCCTGTTTTAGGAGTCTGGTATGGCTTTGGGGAGTCTTGGACTATGGGTTAATTTTCAGTTCTTTAAATCACACCACATCTTTAAAAGCAAATGGAGCATAAATCAACTTATCTGAAGGAGACCCCCCCCACACACACACACACACAACAGGGGCTCCCTCTCAGACCCTGGATAGCCACCTTGATAGCTTGCTTTAGGAATGTAAGTTAATGGCTTTTAGCAAGGCAAAGGGAACTGGGGAGAAGGGAAAGGCCTGCCAGAGCCATGTGCTAAGTGACCTGGTCCCTTCAATACCAACCATCTCACTTGCCCCTCACCCCTCTGGAATTGAACCACATGCTAGACAAGCTCTCTGCCACTGAGCTATAGTCTCAATTTCATCTTATTTTTGAGACAGAATCTCTCACTGAACCTAGAGCTTCCTGTTTCAGTTGGACTGGCTGGCTATCAAGTCCCAGGGATCTGTGTATCTCTCCAGCCATCCTCTCCCTGTTAGACACATGCCACCATGTTCAGTATTTATATGGGTACTGGGAATCTGAGCTCAGGTCCCTATGTTTGCATAGCAAGCACTTTACCAAATGAGCCATTTCTCCAGCCCACTTATTTCCTGTTTGATTTTGATGCAGGGTCTGCCATGGAATTCATTCACTATGTAGAACAGACTGGCCTCAAACAACACAGCTTTGCCTCCCTCTGTTGGGATTAAAGCCTTGTGCCGCCATGCTGGGCTCAGTTGTTTCTTTTTTAAAGAGATAGATAGATAGATAGATAGATAGATAGATAGATAGATAGATAGATAGATAGATATAGATATAAATTAAGATATATATTATATATATATATATACATTATATTAAGATTTATTGTGTATACAGTATTCTGTCCGCATGTATGCCTGCAGGCCAGAAGTGGGCACCAGATCTCATTATAGATGGTTGTGAGCCACCATATGGTTGCTGGGAATTGAACTCAGGACCCCTAGAAGAACAGTCAGTGCTGTTAACCTCTGAGCCATCTTTCCAGCCATGAAAGATATATTTTTATTATTTTTAAATTTACATATATATGTGTAAATGTGTACAGGTACTTGTGTAGAAGTAGTTGCGAGCTGCCTATGTGGCTGCTGGAAATTAAACTCAGGTCCTCTGGCAGAGCAGCACAAGTTCTAACCCACTGAGCCATCTCTCTAGCCCTTTTTTTTGTTTGTTTGGTTTTTCAAGACTGGGTTTCTCTGTGTAACAGCTCTGGCTGTCCTGGAACTTGCTCTGTGGACCAGGCTGGCCTCGAACTCACAGAGATCCGCCTGCCTCTGCCTCCTGAGTGTTAAGGTTAAAGGCGTGCACTACCATGCCTCGCCAGTTGTTTCATTTTTAAGTCAAACACTTGGATGGAAAAGGTCAGGGAAGTTATACTATTCATATAAAACTGTAATCATAAAGAAGCTAACAGTGAAGAAAAAAAGCTAACAGTGCTTAAATATGAAGGAACAAATACTATGATCAGTACTTTACACTTTGGCCCATTTAATATCCCAATTAACCCTATGAGATTACATACGGTCAATATCCACTGTGGCATGCAATAAGGAAATTGAGTTCCAAAGCTGTTAAAAAAAAAAAAAAAACTTAAACAAGGTCTCAAGCTCATAAGCAACACGGTAGGCATTTGGAACAGGCTCTCTGATTCCAGGATCTGAGTCCCCTAATATCACCAAATGTTGCTTCTAGTGAAGATAACGTAATAAATTAGCCTGCACTTTCGAGCCTGTGTGAAAGAAGCTTGAAACTATCAGATAATAGCACCCATCTTAAAAGAGCTTCCATTCCGCTGGAGGTGAACACAGCAGATAAGATATGAATGAACGATTCTAACCACACCTGTATGAACAGATAGGAGAAGGGTTGGGCTGAGGCTTTTGGCCAACATGTGAGAACTGGTTTTACTATTGACTAATTCTGTGACCATAGGAAGGTAAGTGATTTAATCTCTTAAGAGTTTGGATGTCCCCTGCATCCTTTGTTTGTTCCTCAATAGACTTCTGGAAGAAAGAGAGGTTCTCTTGTATTGTGATTTTCATGGCCACAGCCGCAAGAACAATATCTTCCTGTATGGCTGTAACAGCAACAGTCGCAAGCACTGGCTTCATGAGCGGGTCTTCCCTTTAATGTTGAGCAAAAATGCACCAGATAAGGTAAGCATGTGCTCTCGGTTTCAGACAGAGGAACAAAGCGTATTTCTTAGATGAAATGTCTTATTTGGCTCATCACATTTAATGCTATTATCCTTAGTGAATCCCAGGAACCCACGTGTCAAGAATTAAAGTGTGGCTTAAGAATTGCTAGATCAGGGACTAGAGAGATGGCTCAGTGGTTAAGAACACTTGTTGCCCTTGCAGAGGGTCCAGGTTCAATTCCCAGCACCTACATGGTGACCACAACCATCTATAACTCCAGTTCTAGGGGATCTGATGCCCTCTTCTGAGCACCAGTCACACACATAGTGCGCATACATACATACTGATAAAACATTTACACACATAAACACTTTTTTTAAAGGTATGTGCCACCAGGCCTGATTTGGGGGGGGCAGCATATTCTTTTTTTTAAGATTTTATTTATTTATTATGTATACAACGTTCTGCTTCCATGTATATCTGCACACCGGAAGAAGGCACCAGATCTCATAATGGATGGTTGTGAGCCACCATGTGGTTGCTGGGAACCGAACTCAGGACCTCTGGAAGAGCAGTCAGTGCTCTTAACCTCTGAGCCATCTTTCCAGCCCCTACACAAACATTTTAAATCTAAAATAATTGTTTCTTTTTGAGACAGGGTTTCTCTGTGTAGCCCTAGATGTCCTGGAACTCACTCTGTACACCAAGCTGGCCTTGAACTCACAGAGCTTGCCCTGCCTCTGCCTTCCCAGTGCTGGGATTAAAGGTTTGCAACACCATGCCCAGCTAGAAAAAGTTTTTCAAATAATTTTTTTAAATGTTGCTGGATCATTCAGGCATGGTGGTGCCTGCCTTTAATCCCAGCGCTCTGGAGGCAGAAGCTAGCAGATCTCTGATACTTAGAGGGCAGCCTGGTCTACATAGCAAGTTCCAGGCTAGCCATTGTTATGTCAAGTTTGTGAGACCCCAAAAAGACCCACCAAGGAGCCAGTTCACTGATGCAAATGCACAAGGTTTAACGTTAAGTTACAAGCCTTGGCAGGGACCCCGTCCAGCAAGCTGGCACAGCAGCTGCAGGACAAGGGTGCCTGGCCTCAATTGTAAGGGGTTTATAAAGGAAAAAACCAAAAGCAGGGTGGTACATGCCTTGGCTGTTCGGGATTGGGTAAGAGTAGGTGACCTTTGGATTCATTGATGTGGGGGCTAGGAGAATTTTAAAATTGTTACTAACGGTTGTCCACAAGGACAGTTGTGGTGAGAGGATGTTATTTACCAAAATTAGTCATTGCCTGACCACTCAGATGGGGTCACTTTGACCAGGGTGGGCACAGTTTGGGTGCTCCTTGGGACTGTTTATGGTTCCTTAGCTGGAACTGAATCAGCCTTGTGCCATGCAGGGAATTTCTCAAGGTGGCTTTTTCTGAGGATGGAGTTAACTCCATCCTCTCTAGTTTACCTTGCTCTTACAGCCATGGCTACAAAGTAAGATCCTGACAAAAAGCAAAAAAGGAAAGGAATTACTGGGTCCATGACTTGATAATGGATCAAGTATGGAATATCCATATAGTGGAATGTTATTTACAATAGTGTAAGTTTTAAATGCTGATATGCTAAGACAGAGATGCACCTTGATCACATTAAGTTAAGTGAAAGACATCAGATGAAATACTACATGATTCCACTACATTCCATGTTCAGAAAAGACTTTTTTTTTTCTAACCTTGCTAAGGATCAACCTGGGCCTTGTTTGTGCTATCTATTGAGCAATATCTGCAGTAAAGGCAAATCTACACTTGTTTGTTTGTTTTCAGAAGAGGGTAGTAAGAGAATGTCCCAGCACATGTGTGAAGGTCAGAGGACAACAGTCAGTAATTGGTTCTCTCCTTCTACCATGTGGGTTCCAGGGATAAAAATCAGGTCATTAGATTCGGTGATAAAGTGCCTCTACTCACTGGTCATCTTGCCAGCCCATGGCAAATATACAAAGCCAGAAGTTGTTCAGTGATAGGCTGTGGGGGGTGTGGGGTGTGAGTGAATAGGAGGGGACTGCTAGAGTATTGAGTATCTTTTTGTTTCGGTTTTTTCCACCAGTAGAGCTGGCATCAGCCTGGACTTGTAAAGGTGGGCAGCAGGTGCCTTAGCACCAGCTACAACCCTGGTCCTTGAATTTCTCCTGTGGTTATACAGATGTTCCAAACTCAGATTGTGGTGATGGCTGAACAACTGTGTATATATAATAAACCACTGGATTGTGTGCTGGAGTTTTTAATTGGGGGGCTGTGTTTTTGTTTGTTTGAGACATTGTCTTGGTCTGCAGCCCTGGCTGCCCCCAAATTCTGTTTACAACAGCAGCAGTCTTACTGTCTCTTCCTCTCAAGTATCAGGATTACAGATATGTGTCACCGTGCCTGACTGAGTTATATACATTGACTAGGTAATTGTGTAATATAAATGAATTTGGGTTGTTTTTTTTGTTTTTGTTTTTGTTTTTTGTTTTTTGAGACAGGGTTTCCCTGTGGCTTTGGAGGCTGTCCTGGAACTCACTCTACAGACCAGGCTGGCCTCAGACTCACAAAGATCCACCTGTCTCTGCCTCCTGAGTGCTGGGATTAATGGTATACTGTATCACCACTGGGCAAATCTGTTTTTTCATGTGTAAATTATTTCAGTAAAGAGACAGACAGGCCGGGCGTTGGTGGCGCACGGCCTTTAATCCCAGCACTCGGGAGGCAGAGGCAGGAGGATCTCTGTGAGTTCAAGGCCAGCCTGGTCTCCAGAGTGAGTGCCAGGATAGGCTCCAAAGCTACAGTGAAACTCTGTCTCGAAAAACCAAAAAAAAAAAAAAAAAGAGAGAGAGAGAGAGACAGAGAGAGAGAGAGAGAGTGTGTGTGTGTGTGTGTGTGTGTGCCTGCCTGTGTTGAACTCAGAGCCTCATGCATACTAAGGACATACCTCAGCACTGACCTCAAACCCATCTCAAGATTTATTTATTTATTTATTTATTATTTGTTTTTTTGAGACAGGGTTTCCTCTGGTTAGCCCCAACTATCTTGGAACTGGATCTGTACATCAGACTGGTCTGGTACTCAGAGCTCCACCCACCTACCTCTGTCTCCAGAGTGCTGTGATTAAAGGTGTGGGCCACCACTGCCCATTGATAAGTTTTTAGAAATTGCTCTGGGCAAAAGTTGAAACTCTTGCTGGGTGAGGTGATTATCCGTCATCACCTTTCACTCTCTGCTTAGCAGGGGAAGGCTTTAAAGGACGTGCACAGTGTTAATGTCAGACAGGGGAGATGGCTCAGTTGGTAAAATGCTTGCTGTGCAAGCATGGGGACTCTGAGTCTGATTCCAGAACCCACATAAAAATCTGGGCATGTGATGACCACTTGTAACCCCAGTGTTGAGGAGACAGGTGATCCCTGGGGCTAGACAGCTGCCTGGTCCACTCAGCAGTCCCAGGCTTCTGAGAGGTCCTGTCTCAAAAGAAGAGTAAATGGCTCTTGAAGAAAGACACCCAAGGTTGACCTCTGACCTCTAACACGTGTATGCTCACACACACACACACACACACACACACACACACACACCGATTCACATGCACACCTATGTACACCCCATATACAAAAATGTTAATGTTATATGAGTCTCTACACAAGATCACAAATATCCAGGGCTGGCAACACACACATGTCCATAATCCTAGCTCTTTGAAGGCCCAGACAGGAGACATCATTGAGTTAGCTTAGACTAAGAACTGCAAATGTGGTGAAAACAACTCTACAGCTTCATAGTTAACCAATAGCTTTGTGATCACTGGACAAATACAAAAAATTTACATTAGTTTAGAAGTTGCTTTTTCCCATTTTAAGCAGATTCACAAATACAACTGCCATTAGAGATTGGATTAGATTTAGAAAAATGATAGTTCAAATTTTATCCCATTAGGCTCTATGTGACAGGGCTGGAGAAGTAGTTCAGTTCAGGGAGTGCTTACCCAGCTTGTATACACTGGACAATGCAGTACACACCTGTAATCCTAGCATTCAGGAGGTGGGGACAGAAGATTTAGAGCTTCAGGGCTATCCTTGGCCACATAGTGAGTTTGAAACCAGTCTGGGGTACACGAACTAACTCCCAAGCCAAAAATCAAAACAAGCATAAATGTTTTACAGGTGTCATTCTTATTACAAAGAGAAACATTTTTTTCTCCCTTTAAAATTTTTTTTTTCGAGATAGGGTTTCTCTGTGGCTTTGGAGGCTGTCCTGGAACTCGCTCTGTAGACCAGGCTGGTCTTGAACTGACAGAGATCCGCCTGCCTCTGCCTCCAGAGTACTGGAATTAAAGGCATGCGCCACCACTGCCCAGTTCTCCCCCCCTTTTTTTGTCTTCAGATGAAATCATAACTATAAGTCAGTCTCTAAAACTGCCAAGTGCAGAACCGCAGAGGCTGAACATTGGGGCAGAGACTAGAGCCCTGCCAGCACTCGCTCCCTATGTCTTTGTGGCAGGGATGCTCTAAGGTATCCCTCTAGAACCCCTGGATTCCACAGAGCTAGACAGTGAGATACCTTCTTTGTAGACCTCAGCAGGACAGGACAGGACAGGACAGGACAGGACAGGACAGGACAGGGTGGTGTCAAGATATGTTTCAGACTGTGAATGACAAAGAGCTGAGCAGGGCATAAAAGGCAAAGGAGGGTATTGAACTCCTAGAGAAAAGACTAACACCATGGAGGGAGAGAGTTCTATCCAGAGATTATGGGGTAAGAAACATACAAATCAAAAAGTATGCTGGGTGTTGGTGGTGCACACCTTTAATTCCAGCACTCGGGAGGCAGAGGCAGGAGGATCTCTGTGAGTTCGAGGCCAGCCTTATCTCCAGAGCAAGTGCCAGGATAGACTCCAAAGCTACACAGAGAAACCCTGTCTCGAAAAACAAAAACAAACAAACAAACAAACAAACAAACAAAAAAGTATATTTGGAGGAAAACCTAGATCTGAGAGTTCATATTTCATGACAGAAAATAAGTCACGGAGCCCATGTGGAGCCCATGCGTGTAGCCCTGGCATTCACGAAGGGCAGGAGGGCTGAGAAATTACTGGGTTACATGTCAAGAAAAGGAAGAACCAGCATAGAAAAGCTGGCTACTGCCAGAAATAGCCAAGTGTGGCCGTGTCCCCAGATTTCTAGGGATCCTAGTCTAGCAAGATGCTCTGGGAGGGGGAGCAAATAAGGCTGGAAAATAGACTTATCTGTATCTTTCTCTCTTAAAGATCACAGTCCACATTAAATGCTGTGAGGACTATTTAGTTAATACCCCATCTCCACAACCGAGGCGACAACCGAGCTCCTCACCCACCTGCAGCTATTTGTTTTGTTTTGTTTTGTTTTTGTTTTGTATTGTTTTTCTCTTTGCTCTTCGGGGACCCACCACCCAACTCCCAAATAAATCACACGGAGTCTTATTCTTACTTGTGAGTGCCTGGCCTTAGCTTGACTTGTTCTAGCCAGCTTTTCTTAACTTAAATTGTCCCATCTACCTTTTGCTCTGGGCTTTTACCTTTCTCTATTTTTTACTTCTTACTCTGTGGCTGGCTCCTGGCATCCTCCTCCTCCTCCTTTTCTCGATCCCCCCCCTTCTTCCTCCTGTTTATTCCTCCCATTTATTCTCTATGCATGCCAGCCAAGACTATTTCTCTCTCCTGCTTAGCTATTTATTAGACCAGTTGGGTATTTTAGACAGGCAAAGTAACACAGCTTTACAGAGTTAAACAAATGAAGCATAAACTGTGCGGTGGTGGTGCATGCCTTTAACCCTAGTACTTGGGAGGCAGAGGCAGGTGTATCTAGGATAGCCAGGGCTATACAAAGAAGCCCTGTGTTGAAAAACCAAAACCAAACAAACAAAAATAAAGAAACAGTGTCTTAATGGAATATATTTTAGGAAATAATACATAAAAGAAGAACAGCTCTCAAAGAACCATTCTTGTTTTATACTAATGACTCTTAGACATCTTGTATTTGCCAGTTTATATAATTAACAGAGAGGATCTGGGTTTCTTTTCAGTTCTGTTTTGACAGTTGTAACTTTAAGGTCCAAAAATGCAAAGAAGGGACGGGACGAGTTGTGATGTGGCGGATGGGCATCATAAACAGCTATACCATGGAGTCCACTTTTGGCGGGTCCACGCTGGGTAAGAGGCGAGCCTGGCCGGGAGAGCCTGGGAAAGTCAGAGAAATAACTGATGTGGAGGATTTCCTTACTAGCCTTAGGTACCATAAGTGTGAATGTGGGATACAGTGCCCCAGTGAGCTGTGTATCCCAGTGTTTCCTCAGGCCCTGGAATCAGGAATTCAGCTTTGACTTCCAGATACATTTATTAAGTTCTGTGATCCCGGGTCAGTTGGTTAACTTCTTTGAAGCTCATATTCCCTCTAAGAGACAACAATAGTCCCTAAATTGTGGATACTGCTTTAGCAGGCAGTACCTGCCTCAAAGTAAAACCACAATAATTTAAAAAGAGCTTGATAACCCGTTACAATAGCAATATCATTGTCAAAGATTCTTCTGAACCAAAGTAATGCTAGCTTCAGTTTGTTCCTGTTCGGAAACACACTATTCTAAAATAAGAAGTGGATTTTAAATTTATTTTTATTTGTATGTAGTGTGTGTGTGTGTGTGTGTGTGTGTGTGTGTGTGTGTGTGTACAATGTGTGTCTGTCTCTCTCTGTATGTCTACTATGGGTGTGCAATTGCTTGCAGGGGTTGGAAGAGGTGGTTGGATCCCGGGAGCTGGATTTGCAAGCAGTTGAGTGGTCCACTGTGGGTGCTGGGAACCGAACTCGGGTCCTGTGGAAGCATATTAATGCTGAACCATTTCTCCAGCCCTATGAGGTGTGGTATTCTAAACATCTACTCACAAATCAGATCTACATCCAGCACATAAGATTGAGGAGACTAGAAAGATGCTTCAGCTGTTTAGAGCACTTCCCACTCTTGGAGAGAATCTAGGTTCAATTCCCAGAGCCCAATGCTCACAAGCATCTGTAAGTCCAGTTACAGGGGATCTGACGCCCTCTTTTGTCTTCTGAAGTCACCAAACACATACATGGTGCAAACGTACATGAAGTAAAAAAACATTAATACATTCATAAAATAAACATAAATATAAAATCTTAAAAGTAAACTAAAAGATGTAGGGCTTGAGAGATAACTCAGTGCTTGAGAATGCTTGCTGCTCTTCCAGAGAACCTGGGTTTGATCCCTGTGCTCATGTCCAGCAGTTCTTAACTGTCTGTCACTCCCCCTTCTGAGGATCCAATGCCTCTGGCCTCCCTGGGGCACTGGTACATATGTACACAGAAATTTACAAGTACACCTGCTAAGCCACCTCTCCACCCCCAGTTTTTAAAAATCTAACAAAAATTACGATTTTCTTCCAGGCAGAAAAAGAGACACTCATTTTACCATTGAAGACCTGAAGTCCCTAGGTTATCATGTCTGTGACACCATTCTGGATTTCTGTGATCCTGACCAGACCAAGGTAAAAAAAAAAAAAAAACAGAGTTTCAAGAAATGTGGTACCACTACTCTGCTGAATTTCACTCGGTCCAGAGTCCACCCAGATGATCTCTGTTTCCTCCTAATATTTTTTTTTTTGCCCGATGTTTTTAATCACCAGAGAAAATAGAGCCCCTAGTCTTAAACTGTCAAGAATTGGTGACACTTAATAATCCCCCTAGAAAGAAGAAGCCATCCTTTGGCAACCCTCTCCCTAACTGACAGGATGGCTCATGGCAGCACTGGTTCATACTTCTTTGTCTCCTGTTTCAGAACAATTGCATACGTGGAATACTTGTCAATCCTGTCCTCTGCACTAGCGGATGGCCCTCTGTAGACTGCCTGAGTAAGACCAGGCCAAGTTCATTAGTGCCTTTTCTCTTTTCTGTGTCAGCAGGCTTTTCATCTTTTTAATCCTTCCCTTCCACTGAAAGGGTTGTCAAGCTTGCCTCTATCTGAAAACATGAAGGTTTCCTTTGGCCTTGTTCTTCTGGTGGCTACTTCTGATGCCCTTACTCAGTTTGAGAAGGGGTACCCATAGTCTCTTAACACCTCTCTCATATCCCTGTTTAAGTGTTGGCTTGATAAGCACTACCCTGGATGCAATGCTTGGTAAAAAATTAAAAGGCCCTGGTGGTGCTGGAGATATTGAGCACAAGACCTCCTTGCTCATGTGAGCCAAGCACTCTCCTATTGATCTACGTCTTTATTCAAACCATCCTTGCGGTAGGCCAAAGTCAGAACAATGGCATTCTAACTACTCCTTCCTTGCAACTCAGAATTGTAGAAGTGGGTCATAGCCAGAGAAGTGACATAGGCAGGGCTCGTTGACCTTCTGCTTTAAAATAGCTTTATTTGTATAGCCCAGGCCACATATCCATTACCACATCCTTAGTAGAAGGGATTAAAGCTTACCCCATCAATAAATTAAATGCCCTTCAGCATACCCTCAAAAGCATCTCATGACTAGTGCATAAAACTTTTTTCCCTCTCTGCAGTACACTCAGTGTCTACAAGAGCTTAAGGAGCTCTTACAACAGGAAATCCACAAGAAGTTCAATAACTTTGGACAAGATATGGACTTAGAAGGAAACTGGAGTGACATTCCTTTGTCTGACATTGAGTCCAGGTAACATTTCATTTCAATGAAAATCTGGGATTGGTGACACGTCCTTGATCCCAGTACAGATGCAGGGGGATTGGGAATTGAAGGAAAGCCTGGGTTATATTTACATGACACCCTGTCCTCTTATTTATTTGTTTATCTATCTATCCATCTATCTAATTATTTTTTTCTTGAGCTTTTTTTTTATGTAGCCAAGGATGACCCTGAGCTTTTTTTTTTTTAAGTTTTATTTATTATGTATACAACATTCTGCTTCCATGTGTATCTGCACACCAGAAGAGGGCATCAGATCTCATAACGGATGGCTGTGAGCCACCATGTGGTTGCTGGGAATTGAACTCAGGACCTCTGGAAGAGCAGCCAGTGCTCTTAACCTCTGAGCCATCTCTCCAGCCCCTATCTAATTATTTTGAGACAAGGTCTTACTGTATCGCCATGGCTGACCTGGATCTCACAGAGATCTGCTTGCCTCTGCTTGATTAAGAGCAGGTCCGTTTCCTGAGACCTTGGCTAGGTATGGAAGCACATGCCTTTAATGCTAGCACTCGGGAGGGAGATGTAAGCAAATCTCTATAGTGAGTTCCAGGACAGCCAGGGCTACTTAGAGAGACCCTATATTTTAGTTACTTTTCTACTGCTGCAACAAAATACGGTGACCAAGATAACTTAGAGAAGAGTTTTTAATTGAACTTATGGTTTCAGAGGGTTAGAGTCCATGATGGCAGAGCAAAGGCATGCTGGCAGGAACAGCTGAGAGCTCACATCTTTTCTTTGTTTTAGTTTTATATTGTTGTGTTTGAGACAGGGTCTCACTAAATATCTCTGGCTGTCCTGGAACTTACTACATAAACCAGGCTGTCCTTGAACACACAAAGATCCACCTGCCTCTGCCTCCTGAGTGCTGAGATTAAAGGCGTGGGCCACCAACGCCCAGCTCTGAGAGCTCAAATCTTGAGCTGAAAGTAAGAGGCAGAAATGGGTACCGTGAATGGCTCCAGTCTTTTGAAACCTCAAGCCCTCCCACAGTGATACACATCCTCCAAAAAGGCCACATCTCCTAGTTCTTCCCAAACAGTTCCACTAACTGGGGAACATATGAGTCTATGAGGGCCATTCTCATTCAAACCCCCACATCCTGTCTCAAAAAAAAAAAAAAAAAAAGAAAACAAAATGTCTATAATAATGCAAATTAAAGGTGATCGTAATTTAGAACAAAATATTAATTGTGATTGAAGGAAGTGTCAAACTGATTGGATTCTAGATTGTTTTTCAGTCTTACAGTCTTAATGCTCTGAAAAAAGGCAGATTAGCAAACAGAAGTGAGGATGGTGGGGCTTCCCAAGCCCAACTTAGCAACCAGTTGGTCCTTGTCAAATAGTTAGATCCTGTTGTGATCAAAACAGTTAGGTGTCTTGATGGTGAGCCGTTAGCCTCGCAGTGTTTCTCAAGCTTCTCCCATTCAGCTGCACCCACTCCTGCATCCTAAAGTCAGACAGGTGATCCACAGAGGAACTGTTGTGGGCCAGAACAATGGAGAAGACAAGGAAGAAAACAGTCTTTCCACTTCACTACAGGGCTCCTGTAACTCTGAGATTCTAGGTTCTTCTCAAAGAGTTGTCTGTCCAAGAGATCTATACTCACCTACAGGCAATAAAAACACAAACCTGCACCCACAGCTAAACACTGAGCCTTACTCCTGGAATCCAGTTGAAGAGAGGGAGGAGTGATGAGCAAAGGGGTCAAGACCAGGCTGGAGAAACCCACAGAAACAGCTGACCTGAACAAGGGGGAACTCATGGACCCCAGACTGACAGCTGGGAAACCAGCATCGGACCAACCCAGACTCCCTGAAAGTGGGTGTCAGAAAGCCTGGGCCTTCTATGGGGCCTCTGCAGTGGATCAGTATTTATCCCTAGTACACAAATGGACTTTGGGAGCCCACTCCACATAGAGGCATGCTCTCTCAGCCTAGACACGGGAGAGGGCCTAGGCCCTGCTCCAATGTTATGACAGACTTTGAAGATCCCCCATGGAAGGCCCCCTAAGGAAGGCCTCACCCTCCCTGGGGAGCAGAAAGGGGATGGGATAAGGAATTGGTGGGGGGCAGGGGAGCAGAGGAGGGAGAGGAAACTGGGATTGACATGTAAAACAAGCTTGTTTCTAATTTAAATTTTTTAAAAAAAGGAAAAAAAAAAAAGAACACAAACCTGGTATCCTAGTCACAACTATAATCATGCCTAGATTCTGGGTGCATTTTGTTGAGAGGGGGACGGGGAGGGAGAGGGAACTGGAATTGACATGTAAAACAAGCTTGTTTCTAATTTAAATTTTTTAAAAAAAGGAAAAAAAAAAAAGAACACAAACCTGGTATCCTAGTCACAACTATAATCATGCCTAGATTCTGGGTGCATTTTGTTGATTAAAGTCTTTAATGTTTTACTTAATTTTTAAAGTTATATTTTTATTTTATATGTATGAATTTTGTTGTTGTTGTTGTTTTGTTTTTCGAGACAGGGTTTTCTCTGTTTGAGACTGGGTTTCTCTGTGGCTTTGGTGGCTATCCTGGACCGAGCTCTTGTAGACCAGGCTGGTCTCGACCTCACAGAGATCCACCTGCCTCTGCCTCCCGAGTGCTGGGATTAAAGGCGTGATGTATGAATTTTTTGCCTGCACATATGCATGTGTATCACATGTGTGCCTGGGGCCCACAGAGATGAGAAAAGGGCATCAGATCCCTTAGACCTGCATGTAGAGGTGTTGCGGGCTCCAGGTGGGTGCTGGGAACTGAGCAGGGGTCCTCCAGAACAGCCAGTGCTCTTTTTTATTATTATTTTATTCTTTTATTAGTTCAAATTAGGAACAAGCTTGCTGCACATGTCAATCCCTTCTCCCTCTCCCTCCCCTCCCTCCCAACATCCCACCTGCCCCTAGCCATCCCCCCTCCACTCCCCAGGCAGGGTAAGGCCCTCAAAAGGGGCCCCCAAAGTCCACCACATCATCCTGGGCCAGGCCTAGGCCCTTCCCCACGTGTCCACAGCCAGTACTCTCAATCCTTGAGCCGTCTCTCTGATGGGACATACATGGTATTCAAACCCACACACCATTCCCTCCCTGCTGAGCCCTCCTTAGTCCCACTAGTATGTTTCTCTTCCAACTTCATGGTTTTCTCTTTTCATGGTGTGCAACTTTCTAGCCAAGGTGCCTCTGATTGCCTTAGTCATTTTTCAAAGGTTTCAGGGCTGGGCTTGGAGCCTTCCGTCTTTGCCAGACAGTTAGAAGGGTGTGGCTGTTCCACCCACTCTAGTTCTGCTGACCCAATCCCACAAATGTTTCTACAGAAGACTTAAACCTCAGCATCAGAGCAGGCAGCGTGTCCTGTTAACTTATTAACCCTTCCATTCTCCCTCAGTCCACTGCACTAGCCTCTATTTTCAGCCTACAAAATGAAATGTCCTGTGCATGTCAGCTCACTGATACATAGAGCCCAGGAGAACCAACGGCAGAGAGAGACAGACTCTGCACTATAGCTGACTCAGCGGGAATGCTGATGTAATCAGCTAAGAATTAGAAGATGCAGTTTGCTAACTTCTATACCACAAAGTCAGATGTCACAAGCCTCCTAGAGGTTCTATCTGTCCATTCTCACAATTGCACATAAAGGCAGCCTAGGAGTGATGAGATTGCTCTGTGTGTGCACACATGATTGACATTTTCTGGGACTTGCTACATCTAATGCCTTGGTATCCCATTTGGTAAAGTAGTCTATTATTTCCAAAAGGGACTACAGAGCCTATTACCCAACAGCCTCAGAGCCTCCTACTTCACTGGAGAAGCCTTTGAGAACAGCACATTGGAAATTAGATCACAGGAAATAGGCCTTTCTTCCTGCTCTGCTGTGATGGGACTCTTTGTTGCACACCACGGGGAGGGAGCAAAATGGAGTGAAGAGCTAGGCAAGTGGTTTGAAATGCTTTTTTCCCCCTGTGAAATTTGAGTTTTGTTCCCAAGATACTTTTTTGTTTTAAATCTAATTTTATTAATTATTATTATTGGGAGTGTGGAAGAACTGAACTCAGGTCATCAGGCATCTTTACCTACTGAACCATTGCACTGGCCCTAAAGACACTTTTTTGGAGCCTCTATTATATACAGTGTAGTTCTAAGTTCTAGTCCACCCTATCCCAGGAAAAGGGAAATGCATGTGATATGATGAAACAAGTTTAACTATCTGAGTCCCTGTCCATCTTAAGTCCTTGCAAGAAAGGGCAGAAGAGAGTTTGTGGAGGAAGATTCTAGATTAGTCTATGTGTGCATCCAGAACTTTGAATGTAGAATTGAAGTAATTAAAAACAGTACCTCAGTACCCCAGGACTTGTCATATACTTTACAACTGTAAGGTTTTTCTCTAGTGTGTATTCTTTGATGAACTTGAAGATTTGAGCTTTTGGTAAAGGACTTGCTACATTCTTTACATACTGAGAACTTCCTCATGTGTAATTCCCCAGGGCTGCTATTTCCAAAACATCCTGACATTTCTCTCTGACAAGTACCCTGTGTACACTCTTTTGGGAACGTCTCCTGAAGTGGATAACAAAACGCACCTGGAAGAAATGAAAGGCAATTATTGTCTGATGTTGTGGATTTAGGAAAATTAATAAAGAAACGTACATAAAAGGAAAAAAAAAGAACAGTACCCCAGGGTTCACGATGTAGCTCAATGGCAACCAATCTGCTTGGCATCTGTCAGCCTCTGAGTTCAGACTTAGCATCCCTCCTTCAAACAAACAAGAATTGAAGATTTATTCATTTTTATTTTATTTTATTTTATCTGGATGGGTATTTTGCCTTCATGCATATATGTGTGTCACATGCATGCAGTGACTGTGGGGCTCAAAAGAGGGCATTGGAGTCCTGGAATTTGAGTGGCAGAAAGTTGTGAGCCACCCTGTGGGCCCTGGGAACTGAACTCAGATCCTCTGAAAGAGCAGCCAGTGCGCTTGGTCCCTGAACCGTGTCTCTCATTCCCTCAACCTTTTTTTTCTGTCTTTCTTTTCTTCTTTCTTTATTTTGTGTGTGTTTGTTGTTTGTTCTTTTGAGACAGGTTCTCACAATGTAGATTGACTGGACTGGAACTCACTATGTAAACCAGGCTGGCCTCAAAGTCAGAGAAATCCACGTGCCTCTGCCTCCTGAGTGCTGGGATTTAAAGACACACATTACCACATGCAGCTCATTCTTTCTTTATGGAGACAGGGTTTGACCATGGGCAGCTCGGTTGGCGTCTCACCAACAGCCCTGCTTCCACGCCCCCAGTACTGGCCTGACACCTGTGCACCACCACACCTGACTAAAAGCTCTTGAAGTAATTTTGTGGCATTTACCTTGCTGATTATTTGTCACATTTATTTATTTATTTATTTATTTATTTATTTATTTATATATTCAGCACATTTTCCCAGAGTAACTGGTAGAATCCTGGCTTTGGGGAATTAGTATCAGCTCAGAAGAAATGAAGGAGGAAGTGCCTCTGTCCTCAGGGAAATCACAGTCTCTAGGACAGCACACTGTATGTCCCACGGCCCCTCTCACCCTCTGCCAGGGCGCCTTTGCCCATCTGGTCAGTGTTTGCTTTGCCATACTGATTGTGAACTCCTCCAGCAGAGCCTCTGCTTCCTTAAATAACAGTTCTTTTCTTTTCTTTATTTTGAAAGTCACAGACAGTTTACTGTTCTATAATTAGATAAAGAGAAAAAAGAAAAACCCTCGGGTAGCAGGAATAAGCAAGAGTCTTCCACAGTCTGGCATTTGAGAAAGATATTCAGTTACTGTGCATTTATTTCCATTATTTTTCCATGGCAGGACAGCGACTTGGGAATTTGCATGCCTGAAGCCAGGCTACTCTTTTTTTTTTTTTTTTTTTTCTGAGACAGGGTTTCTCTGTGCCTTTGGAGGCTGTCCTGGAACTAGCTCTTGTAGACTAGGCTGGTCTCGAACTCACAGAGATCTGCCTGCCTCTGCCTCCCGAGTGCTGGGACTAAAGGCGTGTGCCACCACTGCCTGGCTAAGCCAGGTTACTCTTATGTTCCATAACTATGTTATTTGCAGGACAAACAATATTTGTACTAGGTTATCATCAAGAATCTTCATGAAGGAAAGATGGTGGCTTGCATTATTATTATTATTGGCTTTTTTTAAAGACAGGGTTTCTCTGTGTAGTTCTGGCTGTCCTGAAACTCACTTTGTAGACCAGGCTGGCCTAAAATAATAGTTCTTTCCTGTCTTCTTCTCATTTAGTTCTTTCCTGTCTTCTTCTCATTTTTTCTTAGCACCAGTGGCTCTGATAGCTCCCTCTCGGATGGTCTTCCTGCCCACCTACTGAACATAGCAGATGAGGTAAGAGTTCACTGATTCTTGTACACACCCAAAACATTGAAACTTAAAAATAAAAAACAAAAAACAAAACCAGAAACACCATAATGCTAGATAATTGGGAAAATGTTCCCACAATCCTAGAATCTACAAGAACTATAGCACTAGCCCCAGGACACAGCTCAGAAAGAAAGCAATTTCCTAGTAGGAGTGAATTCCTTCTTTCAGTCACCAGTAACTCAAAAAGAAAATTGCAATAGTGCCCTAGCTACCTCAAGTTTGTCACTGTGTCCTTTATATGCTTCTTGCTTAATGCTGGAGCTTCTTTTTTTTTTTAAAGATTGTATTTATTTATTATGTATACAGTCTTCTGCCTGCATGCAGGCAGAGGGCACCAGATATCATTCAAGGCGGTTGTGAGCCACCATGTGGTTTCTGGGAATTGAACTCAGGACCTCTGGTAGAGCAGTTGGTGCTCTTAACCACTGAGCCATCTCTCCAGCCCCTGGAGCTTCTTTATGGTAACACCATGGTAAATATTTTAACCACGTGTCAGTGACCAGAGTCATCTGAACCTGACCTGGTCATTATGAGTTATCTGGTTTTATGTTGTCAATCACATGCATTTGGCGATTGATGCAGGTGCACCTTTGGTAGCTGTTGGTCCAGGTGCCCCTTTGGTAGCTGTTGGTCCAGGTGCCCTTTGGTAGCTGTTGGTCCAGGTGCCCTTTGGTAGCAATCTGTATTTGTGGGAGTCAAGCATGTTAAATAGGCAGCTGCTGGAAAGAAGGTGGCTGAACTGTTGGCTCCTTCTCCACGCCAATAAATAAGGACCACATGCCAGGCTACTGTGTGTCTGCTGTTAGGCCAAGACTGCCTCATGACGATGAGTGTAACTCTGCAAGCCCCTCTGATCAGTTCCTCTGTAACTTCTGGAACAGGTGAATCAGAAGATGATATTAAAGAAGCAAAAAAAGAAGAGACTCCAGACTAGAAAACAGAGAAACGAGCAGTACCAGAAGAATTATTTGATGCGGGAGTTAAAGTTGACAGAGAACAATACCCCAGTAAGCAATCTCCACTGCCCCCTTCTGTTGTCTGTCCTTCCTGTTCCACAGATGAAGAGGAGGCAGGGCTAGAGGGTATGCTCAGCTAGAAGGGGTGGTGGGAAGAGGGGTGCTTTCTTTTTGAGGTCAGAGCCCTTCCTCAGGTCCTCTGAATGTGTCTGAGCAGTTTTCAGCCTCACCCTCCTGGTCCTCACCTACACTCTGCTCAGGCCCAGCGGGTACAGCTTTTGACTAAAACTGAATTCCCACAGGAAAGAGGTGGAGTTGGAGCGTGTTAGCTGGAGCTCAGCTTTAGAGTGGCTGGGTGGCTGAGCTGAGGGATTCAAGCTTTCAAGAACATTTCACTGTTGGGTGAATTGTGTAGAGAAGGAATGATAGACTGAAAAACCTTTCACTCAATCTTTGTAGGGAAGGGCAAGATTTGCTTCTACTCTGCAAAAGCAGCCTACTTTTTTGAAAAATCCTGAGAATTCTAGTTCTTCAATAATGAGAAATGAAAAGCCAAGGCTCAATGAGGTAGTATTTTTGCTTGACTCTTTGTCACAGATTCTCTGATTTCTCCAATTAGCACATCAGTTCCACCAGGTGAAAGATGCAGTAGCCATTGTGTTACCTGGAGGTAAAGATGATGCTAACATTGCTTTGGATTAAAAACTGAAATCTTATATCAAATGTTGATGATTTGTGGTTTTATATCAAGACCATAAGAGGATGCTGCTTTACTTATCCATACAAGCATTCATACACACATCCACACATTAACTGTAACTTGTACCTACTCTGTGACAGGCCCTTTACTGGACACAAGATACTGTCCTTTCCCCAGAGACCTCAGAACCTGGTGGGACTTCCAACAAGTCAGCAGGAATTGTGTTGCAGAGAAAGGCACACGGAGAAGAGGCAGGTGGACAGTTTTCAGTACTTTGGAATATTACAGATGAAATCCTTGATTCTCACTGGATATGTTGGCACACACCTATAATCCCAGCATTTGAGAAGTAGAAGCAAGGGAACCAATGAGTTCTACATGAGAAAACGGAAAAAACAGTAGATTTCAGAGAATGTATATAGTTCTATGGTAGGAAACTTGCCTAGTATGTGCAAGGCCCTGAGTTCAATTCTCAGCATTGCTTTAAAAGTTGTTCTTTGAACCAGGCTTAGTGACATAGGCCTGTAATATCAGTTCCTGAAGAGACTAAGACTTCAAGTTCAAGGCAACTCTGGGTAACTTAGAAAGACCCTTCTAACTATAGAGAAAAGGGTCCTGGAAAGATGGCTCAGCAGTTCAGAGTGCTTGCTGTTCTTACAGAGATTCAGTTCCCAGCATCCCACATCAAGCATCTCATAAACATCTATGGCTCCAGAGGATCTAATGCCCTCTTCTGGCCTCCTCAGGCACCTGTATGTACATGGTACACATTTATACAGATATAGATTACAATTGAGCTTTTTTTTTTTTTTTTTTTTTTTTTGGTTTTTCGAGACAGGGTTTCTCTGTGGCTTTGGAGGCTGACCTGGAATTAGCTCTTGTAGACCAAGCTGGTCTCAAACTCACAGAGATCCACCTGCTGGGACTAAAGGTGTGTGCCACCACCACCCAGCTGAGCTAATATTTTTATAGCTAATATACATATATATGTATATATATTTATATATGTATATTTAAGTCAGGCAGTGGTAGCACAGGCCTTTAATCCCAGCACTTGGGAGGCAGAGGCAGGCAGATCTCTGTGAGTTCAAGGCCAGCCTGGTTTACAAAGATACACAGAAAAGCCCTGTCTAGAAAAAAAAATAATGATACAAAATGATCTTCAGGCAAGGGTTGGGGAGATGGTTCAGTTGGTGAAGTGCATGTGTGGGAGCATGAATCTGTAGCCCCCCACATAAAGCCTGACATGGTAGTTCACTGTAATCTAAGTGGAAGAGGCAGACAGGAAGATCCCAGGGCCTTGCTGGCTGGCCAGTCTAGTGAATTGATGAGCTCCAGGTTTAGTATGAAACTCCACATCCTATGACCACACAAACTAACATACACATATACTATACACATAACACATAAACAACAATACCTTCAGGCTGTATGTTTAAGTGCACATAAGAAAATTAATAAGCTGGGCGTTGGTGGCGCAGGCCTTTAATCCCAACGCTCAGCAGACAGAGGCAGGGGGGTCTCTGTGAGGTCAAGGCCAGCCTGGTCTCCAGGCGAGTGCCAGGATAGGCTCCAAAGCTACACAGAGAAACCCTGTCTTGAAAAAAAAAAAGAAAATTAATAAATTTCATATTTACACTGGGATTCCATCTCTAAGATATCTCATTATGTATATGTACATATCCCAAAATTAGAAAAATTAATCTGAAATCTAAAACACTTGTGTTCCTAAGCATTTCTGAGAACTCTCTATTGTGTGAGCTACTCAGCCAGGAACTTAGTTTCTGATCTGCAACAACAGAGGTGCAGAAACCTTCAGCCTATGTTGGCTTTAGTTCTAGATGGGAAACTAAAAAGTACCTGGCATGTTGTGGGCACTGAATAAACATTAGTTCTCTTCTGAGTTGTTACTCATGTGTGCTTTGCCTTCCTTTTGTGTTGTATTATCCCCATGGGTCAACCTGCATGAACGAAAATCACAGGACTAATGTGTATTCAATATAACTACAGTGTTCACAAGGAAAACTTAGCGAGGATGTATTCATTTATTTTAGACACAATTAAGTGGAAGAGACAAAGGCACCTCCCTGGATCCACCATTGACCAGCCTGGTTCTACCTAAGAATAAAGAAATAATTCAGGTACTTCACCTCGTTTATACATACACATATCAACAGTTAATTTTAGTTAATTTTCTTGCTTGTTTGTTTTTATATGCATGTTTAATTTGTTTTGTTTGAGACAGGTTTAGGCCCTGCTAGCCTAAAACTTGTTATGCAGACCTGGCTGGTCTCATAGACTTGTGACCATCTTCCTGCTTCTGCCTCCCAACTGCTAAAATTATAGGTATGTACCACCACATCCGACTTAATTAATTTTCATGTATATTGTGATTTGGATGATTGATGCTACTGTCCACTCAGACCCATTCTGCCCAGATGAACATCGAAGGTAGTTTGTATCCTCAGGCTCAAACCACCTGGTCACTCTGGAGCACAGCTCCCAAGATAGGACAGGGATAGAGAAGGCCCACCCAGAGCTAAAATCTGGATATCAAGAATTTAATTTCAGTAAGTGTCTATTAGGCTGCCATCATTTTGTAGTTCCGTGGCAGTATGTCAACTGATACTTGGTATATAATGTTAGTACATGGACTGTCACAGTTGGCAGAGGTATATGCCTCACGGCTAGAATTAGCAATGATTACCCAAAACTGAAGTGTGTGAATGACTTGTCCATCTTACGATGCTATCACAAAATGTTGGCGCCTAGGCAATTTTTGTTTTATTTTGTTTTTCAAGTCAGAGTTTCTCTGTATAGTCCTGGCTGTCCTGAAACTCACTTTGTAGGCCAGGCTGGCCTTGAACTCACAGAGATCCTCCTGCCTCTGCCTTCTGGGAGCTGGGATTAAAGGTGCATGCCACCATGCCCGGCTACCATCTAGGTTATTTATAAAGGGAAGATATTTACTTAGCTCATGTTTCTAGAGATTGGAGTCTAAGATGAGCCCCATGTAGTGAGTGCCTTGTGCTACATCATACTCTGCTAGAAGAATAAGGGGATAGGTAGGTTATGTGCAGAAGAATCAGACTCAAGGAACAGCCTCTTTAATTGATTGTTTGCTTGTTTGTTATTTGAGGCAGGGTCTCTCTACATAGCCCTGGCTGTCCCAGAACTTATTCTGTAAACCAAGATGACCCAGAGTTCTGCCTACCTCTGCCTCCCAAGAGCTGAGATTAAAGGTATGGGTCACCATGCCTGGCATACCAGCCTCACTTCATAACTTCTTTTTCAGCAATTAGTCTAGTCCCACAAAATAGCCCAGCTCTGCAAGAATTAAAATCCTGCCGGGCAGTGGTGGTGCAAGCCTTTAACCCCAGCATTCGGGAGACAGAGGCAGGTAGATCTCTGTAAGTTTGAGGCCAGCCTAGTCTACAGAGCTAGTTCTAGGGCAGCTAGGACTGTTACACAGAATCCCTGTCTTGAAACAACAACAACAACAAAAATTAAAATCCTGAATGAGCTCTTAAGGTCCCACTTCCCAACACCACCACAGTAAGATTAAGGGGGGAACAGGCATGTTCAAAGCATAGCAGTAAGCTTTTGCTTTTCAAAAACAATAGAATTAATTTTAACGTGTTCTATCAGCGTGTCTCACACAAATTTGCACTTCCACATTCTTTCCTTAGGAATAGCAACAGCTAATGAATTTCCCTTTTAAACAGCCCTGTGTTAGCTGAGTGTGACAGGGCACACCTGTAATTCTAGCCATTTGGGAGGCTAAGGCAACTCTACTAATGAGACCCTGTCTCAAAAGGCAAGAGAAAGGTGGCTTAGGCTTTATACAGCCTTGGGTATGACAGGAGGATATTCCTCCATGTATCGGGTAGAACAGAGTTTGAAAACACTGCACTAACTTAAGTAAATTGATATTTTTCAAGTCTTTTCATAGGTTGATTCTTGTGTAGATACTCTCATTTGCCTATCTGAGTCTTCTGGAGAACCTGTAAGTGTGAGACTCCTAAAGATAGGGTCCCCAAAGGAGAGGGACAAGACGTAAATTACCACAGAGTAGGACCCACTGAAGAGCAAGGCTAAGAGAAGTTTAAATGCAACTGGAGGTTGAGGCAGAAGGATCACATGCTTGGGGCCAGACAGTGCATTTGAGACTAGCCAGGACCACATAGCAAGTCCTTGTTTCAAAAATAATAATCACCAGGCGTTGGTGGCACACGCCTTTAACCCCAGCACTTGGGAGGCAGAGGCAAGCGGACCTCTGTGAGTTTGAGATCAGCCTGGTCTACAAGAGCTAGTTCCAGGATAGGTTCCAAAGCCACAGAGAAACCCTGTCTCAAAAAAAAAAAAAAAAATAATCATGGAAGCTGGGTGTAGTGGCGCAGGCTTTTAGTCCCAGCAACTGGGAGGCAGACATGGGTGGATCTCTGTGAGTTAGAGGACAGCCTAGTCTACCTAGTGAGTTCCAGGACAGCCAGGTCTATGTAGAGAGACTCTGTCTCAAAAAACAAAAATAAATAAATAAATAAATAAATAAATAAATAAATAAACCCAAAATTTAATAATAACAGTTATGGAGTAGAGAGATGGCTCAACAGTTAAGAGCATTTGGAGCTCTTCTGAGGGCCTGGGTTCTGTTCCCAGCACCCATATGGTGCCTCATTGCATCCACTCCAGGGCATCTGACACCTTCTGTGCACATACAAACACGTAATAAAAACACTCGTTTTATTTTTTATTATGTAAAATATTTTATTACAGATAAAATAATATTATCTTTTTGAAACTAACTAATAAAGTCAAACTAAAGAAAGTTGTAACAGACTAGTAAGTGATGAGCTTATCCTTGTTCTTCATTCAACATCCATGGCTTCAAGCCTACAGGCGACAGAGCCTAATATACAACTAAAACCCGCTGATTAGCCTGTAACATGAAAGTCAGCCCTGTTAATGCCAGTGAGCTGGATGGATGCCAGGCAGCCCTTTATCATTACTTCATCCTCTTGAGTTTTCCTGTGGAGTCTTTTCTACTGGGAATGCAGTTTAACCGCCAGAGCATGTCAGTAAGCACAGCTGGAAATGCGGGGCAACCATTTCGACATGCTAAGTTTCTCTTCCTTTGTGCAGTGTTGGTAGACAGCTTATAAAAAAAGTCTTTCCACTTCCTGGATCCACTAAAATGTTGCCCATAGACCTCTACTTGGCTGAGAAACCTGACCAAGTGATTGATTCATCTCTGCCCTGTAACATTGTTGACTATTTTGGTATTTGGGGAGGAAATGTCTAAAAAGACCAACGTCAACCCTAAGTATAACTTAGAAATTGCAACAGAAAGTGAATTCAACTCTTTTATCTCCTTTGTGCAGAGTAAGAAGCCAGGCTTTACAACATCATGCTCTCCAAAGAGAAGCACAAACTCCAGCCTAGGGCCATCTCCAGATGTCAAGCCAAACTGGCCTAGGACTAGATACCCTGCCACGAGGAAAGACCGCACCACCATGGTGGTGTACCCATCCTTGCACATATACACATACCCATAGGTGTGCTTTTGCTGTGACACACAGGTGCTTCCTCCAAAGGTTTTGGGTAGTTTTACTGGTTTTTGTTTTGTTTTATATGCTATGTTGGGAACCAAACCTAGGGCACTGAACACACTAGGCAAGTGGTTTACCACTGAGCTTCGTCTCCAGCTCCCTTGAAAAGGTTATGGGTTGTGTACATTTTATAAGAGGAAGGCTATAAATGTAATGGAAACTCTGTTTATGCTGTACCGTGTTGTACATTCACCACACACTGACCTGCACTTGTGTACATATTGGCAGATTCATATCTCATGAATTTAGTAATTTTATCCTGATAAGATTATATTTTGATGTATAGAAAAGCTTTTATTGAAAGTTGAAGCATATACTCATAAAAAGACAGCACATGTATACCTCATTTTAAACGAATAGATGTTCCCTCTAAAGTTAGATGCAAATCAGTTTTTAAAAGATGAAACTATTTTTAAATGTGTTTTGGGAATGTGCCATATAAAAAGTCTATGTCAAACTTTCCAAACAGTAAATGACCAGTCAGTCGTGTTATCAGGTTTGCTCAAAATGAGGTGTTTCTACATAGAAAAAAATTACATGTATTACTCATAATTTAATGTTGCATATATTAGGTTCAACAAGGTTGTGTAAATTTTTAAGTCAACAATTAAAATTCTTTCTCTCTGTTATTTGTTCCTTGACTGTTTTACTACATAATCTTATGTGAACAGATTTATTCATCAGCCATTCATTTTCTGTGATTCCTCATGAATATCAGTCTTCCAACTACACGTCATGTCGGAATTCAGAGTCACATTAAAGAAGAGTCATTCAAATAGGCATGGGGGCTCATGCCTATAATCCTAACACATGGGAGGCAGAAACCATGAGTTCAAGGCCAGTCTGCTCTACATCCCAAGTTCTAGGCCAGCCAGGGTTATAAAATATATCTTGTACATAAAAAGAGGATGGGGACATTAGCAGGATGGTCTCAGTGTTGGGAAAACTCCTGATTCCAGGCTTGGTAGAGCTAAACTTAGATTTGAATTCACCCATGAAACATTCAAATCAAAGCTAAAGACATAAATGTGATAAATGTGAAATAAAACTGTGAACCTTCATTTTAACATTTATCTAACTTCCTAGATTGGATCAATATATACTTAGGTGGTATTGAAAATGGTAAACTACTTAATTTAAATCTCAAAATTTAAATTACAAGGTTTACATCAAAACCAACATTTCACAAATGCATTTTTAAGGTATCATAAGGAGTAGTTGAAGCAGTAAATGGTAATTGCTAATTTAGAGGTGGGATTTTTATTGGTATATGAGAATTTCACTTAAACTTGTGGGTGTTTTTTATAAAGCAGATCTCACAAGTTTTGAAACTTTGTTACCTTTAATATTTCTTCTAGAGAATAGGTGGTTTTTTATCCATAATAAAAGAAAAATTCTACAGAATTGCTGCTTCAATCTAGTCCCATTTGAGAAAACATATTAATAACTGGATGAATTATCACCCTGAAAACTTATTTATTGCATTAAACTTAACTCGGTCTTGATAAAGCACTCCAGAAGTTTTTTTTGTTTTTGTTTTTTTACTACAGTTTTTATAAAACTGCCACTGCTTCTAATGCATTTTGTTTTAAGAGAAAGAGAATAATTTTCAAAATGTCTACTGTGTCTTAAGGGAAGTAAGAAGGCACTCTGTAAGACCACCAAGGTGTGTTCAGATTCTCAATGTAAGATCTTGAGGCCTTGAATGTAAGATCTATACTGTTAAACTGCAGCTGCTCCTCAGTGCAGTGTGCAGCCTGCGTCCACCCAGAGTGGCCGTAACCATTTTGACATGTAATCGATAATGACCACTGAAAAATAAACCAAACAACCAGACTATTATCGTTAACCTTTGTAAATGATTTCCATGAAACTTTTCAGTTCTTCCTAAAGGCTGATATGCTTCAATTTGAAAACAATGTTGATTTTGAGTGGACAGAAGTAAGCTAACCAACTACCATTATGTTTTTTTTAAAATAACATTAATAATTCAAGATCTTTTCTTAAAGATTTATTTATTTATTTATTTATTTATTATGTATACAGTCTGCATGTGTCCCTGAAGGCCAGAAGAGGGCACCAGATCTCATTACAGATGGCTGCGAGCCATCATGTAGTTGCTGGGAATTGAACTCAGGACCTCTGGAAGAGCAGCCAGTGCTCTTAACCTCTGAGCCATCTCTCCAGCCCCTGCCATTATGTTTTAAACTAAGGAATACACCTTTCAATAAAGTTATTGAAATGCAAAAAAAAAAAAAAAAAGGGTGAGGAATTCTCCAAGCTAGGTAAGGCAGCTCATGTGTAACTCTAGCACTTGAGACAGGAGAATTGCTGTGAGTTACTGAGTTATAGAGTGAGATTCAGTCTCAAAAGTAAAAAGGGATCTAGGCAGTGGTGACACATGCCTTTAATTCCAGCACTCTGGAGGCAGAGACAAGCACAGGCAGGTGGATCTCAGAGTTCAAGGCCAGCTTGGTCTACAGAGCAAGTTCCAGGACAGCCAGGGCTGTCTTGAAAAACAAAGCAAAACAAAACAAAACAAAAAACAAAAAATAAAAAGGAGGATGAGAAGGAGAGGAAGAGAAGGAAGATGAAGAGGAAGAGGAGGAAATAGAAGTAGAGAGGATTACTTCTATTTATGCCAACTTCTATTTAGGCCAACTTCTTTTACTTTTCTTTTATCTTGACACATTAGATTGAAAGTTTTCTAGCATAGTGTACATGTGGAAGTCAGAGGACAATTTGTGAGAATTGGTCTTCTCTTACCACGTAGGTCCTAGAAATCAAACTCAGGCTTTCAGGCTTGGCAATAGGTGCCCTTAAACCACTGGTGAGCCATCTCACCAGCCCCCTTTTCTGGTCTTGGAGAGAGAGGTGATGTGATCACAGCTCTCACTTGTCTTCACTTTGTTGTTTTGTTTTGCTTTTTGTTTTTAAGACAGAATCTCGTGGAGCTCAGGCTGTATTCAAACTCACTGTGTAGCTGAGGGTGACCTTTGACTCCTGATCCTCCTTCCTCCATCTCCCAGATATTGGGATAACAAGCATGGCCCACTCTGTCTGGCCTGACCACAGCTCTTGAAAATGCTATAACAAATACAAACATGTAAGACAATGACTGGAAGCAGCACTCAGGTTTGTGCTGGACAGTAACTCTGCTGAGAGAATAGAACTCTGGAGATACAGAAGCTGTGTGAGAACAGAAATTCCAGGTGATTTTTTTTCTCCATTTGGCATTTGTCCTAATTTGCTTTCTCTTGCTGTGATAAGTACCAGGACCAAAAGCAACTTGGGGAGGAAAGGGTTTATTTGATGTATAAGTCCCCATCATAGTCCAACATGGAGGGAGTTGGGGCAGGAGCAAAAGCAGAAACCTGGATGCAAGAACTGAAACAGAGGCCATGCAGGAATGCTGCCACTGGCTTGTTCCCTGTGGTTTGCTCACCTTGTTCTATATAATGCAAAACAACAGGCTCTTGAGTGGCACCACCCACAGTGGGCTGGGGCTTCCCACATCAATCATTAGTCAAGAACATGCCCCACAGACTTGCCTATGGATCAGTCTCATGGATGCATTTTCTCTTATGGATGCAGTTCTATCTTCCCATATGACTCTAACTTATGTCAAGTTGACAAAAAAAAAAAAAAACAGTACAGCATGGAAAATACAGCAATTTGAGTTGAGCATAGTGCATGCCTGTAATCCCAGCACTCTAGAGGCTGATATAGGAGGATAACAAGTGTAAGACCAGTCTAGATTATTTATCAAATCTGAAAATTCAGAAGCTTTTATAATCACTAACTGTAGTTATGTTGCCAAAAAATTCTGTCAAAGCCATCCTAGTCCATTTTCTGATGCTGTAACTGAGTGCAGAAGATGGGTAGTTGATGGATAAAGGGCAATGATTTTGAGGGTCTTATGCAGTTTAAACAGGCCTGGAATTCACTGTATAGCAAGAAAAACTTTGAACTTCTGGTCCTTGTGCCTCTACCTTGGGAGTTCTGGGATTACACAGGAGCCACCATGCCTATCAGAAAATACTTTCTCATGATTAGGGAGTCTGTGGTGTCCCAAGGGAAAGCAGCCACTTGTAATGACAAACCCTTTGCTGAGGCCACAGTGAGTCCCGAGGCAATAGAAATTTTCACATCATGGCACAGAACAGGGGTGCAGGGAGATCTTGGTCTTCTTACAAAGCCACTCCTTGCTAATCAACTCATTAATCTACGAATCCATCCACTCTCCAGACCCAATCCCCTGCCGAAGTCACACCTCCAAATACCACCAACACTGCCACACTGGACCCAACTTTCCAACACATACATGAGACTCGGTGGGAAAATGCCAAACACGATGCTCTTTGCAGAAATAGAAATGTTAACTTCAGGCTTTCCAAGCTGTTCTCACACTAATTCTGGCTCCATTATCTAGAATAGCAGAGTTGTTTCCAGGTCAGAAACTTAGCACCTTCTTCCCCAGATGCCTTTTCAGCTACCAAGACCACTGTTCCTTTAAAGCGTGAGGACAACTGAGTGTTGTGGTGAAGGCCTGTAGTCCAACCTAGTTCTTGCAATGTGGAGGCAGGAAGACCAAGAGCTGAAGTCCAGCGTCAGCTACATAGCGAGTCCAAGGACACCTAGGCTGCAAGAGATCTGATTTTAAAAAAAAGCCAAGGGGTGGTGGCACATTCCTTTAATCCCTGCACTTGGGAGGCAGAGACAGGTAGATCTCCAAGTTTGAGGCCAGTCTGGTCCACGGAATGAGTGCCAGGACAGCCAGGACTACACAGAGAAACCCTGTCTCGAAAAACAAAACAAACAAAAATCTATTTTAAAAAGTGTATAGGCTCAGTTTAATTGTTTAATTCAACCAGTAGCATTTCTGTCCATTTCTTAGTGGAGTATTCCCATGGAGGCAAACACAGTTCTGTTAATGCTTGCCACACTCCAACATCTTTATACTC